GTTAGGCTGTTTTCATGTTTATCATTTACATTAACATCTGTGAGTTCACAAGGAAATTCAGGTGGTATTTCAACCGTAAGGACAGGTTCAGAAGGATTACTTTCCTTGTCAAAAGTTCCCATAAGAAGTGATGTCCCATTTGTACAAATTTCTTGAAAATTGGTATTATTAGGTCCAGTCCAAGACATTCGGTAATTCACGTCATCCGTTTGTTCTGGAGTTAGCAAATTTTCCTCAGATTTGCTGATATGCTTTGACCCTGAAAATGAAATGGTTCAGAAATAAAATATATTTAACTTAATAAATCTGTGAGACACCAGTGTGTCAGCTCATTTTATTTCCAAAGCTCCTAAATTAAAATAAATTTAATCCAATAACAGAAACATTTTGAAAATAAGAAAGTTGATTATGATTTTAACAATTTGTCAACTATTCATAAAAAGTAATCACCAGTACAAATACTTTACACAATAATTTAATGCCAAGATAACTACACATTATCTTTTCTTTTGTTAATCTTTAACATTTTTCTAAGTCTTTTTAGTAAATTATAAAGTTATTACACATACATACCTTTCTTTGTTAATCTTTCATCAACATCTGGACTGAAAAGCAGTCCAGTTTTTACAGATTCAATCCTATTTTTAAAATCTTGTTGACTTGCAAGTCTTCGTCCAACATGTTCATATCTATTCAAACCAGAACATCTGTTCTTTTGAGAAAAACAAATTTTGAAAGCTTGGGTTATGAAATTAATTATTCAATTATAAATTAAAGGTAAACTAAAACAATGATTTCAGAAAAATAACAAGACTGATGGAAAAGAAACTAACAATAATTAACATTCTACAGGAAGTCTTATTCAAAATAACTACAGAATACATAAAGTACATAAGAGTCAATCTATCAAAATACACTCAAGCTCTAGACAGATACAATTACAACATGCTCCTGATATATAGCAATACAGAAAATGACTTAAATAAATGGAAGGATATTTTGTGTTGATGCCAAGGGCACACCAATGTAATACAAATGATGACAGAACCAAAAATAATATACAGAGTGCTATTCTAATCAAATAACTGAGTGTTTTATAGAATACAAAATAAGAGAAAAAATTCATTTAGAGGAACAAAAGATCTGGAATCTCAAGGGATTATCATGAGAAAAAGTAGGAATGACAAGGGAATAGTATTTCTAGACCCCAGATTATTAGGGCAATATGGAAATAGTTTAAGAAAGTGACTAAAATGTCCATTCCTCTATCCTAGAGATACCACTGGCAGACATAATACATCAAGTAGGTCAAAGACAAAAAAGGTTCCATATGCCAATATACTGATAACAGTACTTTTCGTAACAGCAAAGAACTAGAAGCAAAGTAAATAGAGACCCCATCAACTAGGAAGTAGATAAGCAAATAGTTATATGAATATAATGGAATATTGCTGTACTGTAAGAAACTACTAATATGAGGGAGAGAAATATGTAGTCTTATATGAAATAATGCAAAGTGAAGTAGTCAGAACAAAAAATATTACAATGACCAAGGAAAAGATATGAGAATGTACCTCCCTCTCTCTTTTTTCGGATATTAAGGACTATGTACATGAGACACTGTATACAATGTCAGACTTGATTGTTGTGATGTGCTGAACTATTTTCTTTTTTATTCTGTTATTTAGGACAGCTCCCAAGAAAGAAGGTAGAGGTATATTGGAAAGTGAAAAACAAAAAATACAAATGAAAATGCACAAAACTTAAAAAAATAAAGTGTAAACTCTTTGTAGTTATCAGAGTCCAGTACATACAAAACATGAGGTTTAGAAATAAACTACTCACAGTGAAAATTTTACTTGTGGATTACTAAAAGTATAGGCATTTTTAGTAGCACTTAATAGTATTTATGGCTGATTTGGTATTTTTTGGCAAATTAGTCACTAAAATTACAAGTCTGAAATGAATGAAAAAACAATGAAGGAACAAGAAATACTTACTATATCTCTGCTACTTTTCTTCAGACTAAACTTGAGACGAAGAGATCTTCGGACCTTTTCTTTACGACTTATCTTAGGAGAGAAGCAACCTGCCTTCCCTGATTCCACCCTAATAATTTTTTTTTTTTTGCAGAAGAAAGAAAAAAAGCAATGTTTGAAAACGAGACAATCTAAGTTGTATATGCTGCCAACAATATTCCTTCCGTGGAGTAGAACTTAAAATAAGAATCCATTTAGTGCTCATCTCCTAAAAGAATAAAAATACCAGATAACTCTTGTTGGAGGAGTCCTAACTATGTGGGACCTTTGGCAAATCATAACTTGATGACAGTTTCCTCATCATTTATAACATGAGGGTTTAGATCAGATGATTTCTAAGGTCTATTCTAGATCTAAAATTGTATAAGTAGTGGGAATATGAAAACTTTGTGTACCAAATTATCATGCTTCTGATAAGAATTATTCATAGTCCTTGGAACCTGGAATCAAAAAGATTTTTAAAGCACAAGTAAAACATTAAGATTATATACTGTAGGACAAAATAGACAAGGTTTTAATCAAGCAGAGGTGGCTTTTCAGATTGGGAATCTTTCTTTGGTTGATAGAGAAAAAAAGGAAAAATGTTCTTAACTAATAAGAGCACTTTGACAGGGATATTTTCAAAAACATTTTATTATTTAAGTCATATCAATTTGGAGAAACAATAAATAACTGAAAGCAAACTATCAAAATCACTTAAATAAGTTTCATTGGTTAAGTTAATTATTGAGGCAACTTACCTGCATACTTTTTTGCTTGCAATCCTTTTACTTCGCCTCTGAACACCTGTATTGAACAGATGATTTCCACTGATGGCTATGGGGGAGATTGAACTCTGAGAAGATGCACCAGGGCTTTCTTCTAATTGAACTATAAAAGCACCATAACATATAATAACTGTGATTTTTTAAAAGCACAAAACATTAATATTAATTTTTAAGACTTTTCAATTCCAAAAAAAATTTTTTTTTAAACTTTGGCTCAATAACCTTCCTTCATTTTCCTTTTACATAAAAAACTAGTTAATTTATTAATTTTATACTTTAGGAGGATCAAAAAAATGTTTAATTTTGTTTTAAATTCTGCTAATAACATGTGGAATAGTTCTTATATAGAAACTCTGACTTAATATCCCCAGGAGAGAATATACATTCCCTCTTTGTTTCCCCAACTCATGATAATTAGCTCAGGTAGTCAGAACATTATGCTAATAACCACTTGGATCTTCCTGTATTTTTTCCTCTTCCTTTGGTTTCAATTCACTCTCCAGATTCTCTTCTGACCTGTCTAAGTGCCATTTTCAGTTTCCTTTGCTGACGGAAATGTCCCATGTCCCACTCCTAACCATGTATATTGTCCAGGTCTCTGCCTTGGGTCCTTCTCCTCTTGCCTCCCTCCAGTTTCTCTTTACTCACACAACCACCACCCTAGTTTAGACTTTTCTCACTCTTGCTTGAACTACTATAATAGCCTAATTAAACTCTTAGCTTAAGTTTTGCCCCCTGCCCATGCATCCTCCCCACAGCCTCCAAAATAATATTCCTGTAACACAGAGTTGACCATATCACTTCCTTAAGAAGTCTTAGGGCTGTTAGGAAAAAAATACAAAATTTGCAGCTTGGTATTTAAAGCTTTTCACAATCTAGCTACAGACGACCTTCATAGATATTACCTAATACTCTCATGTAGTCTATGTTCTACACTGTCCCACCTGCTGTCCTCTGAATTTGGTAACCCATTTCCTGCCTCTATGCCTTTGACTGAAATGTACTACCTCCTTATCTCTGCCTCTTAAAATCTCTACTCCTCCAGATAGCTGGTGTTTTCATTCCCTCATCAAGTTATTTCATATTTATTCGTTTAACTGCTTATCTTCCTTTGTAAATTTTAAGTTCCCTAAAGGTAGAGACTTAAATTTATGTCTTTGGGAGGCCAGTGTCATTGAGTTGAAGAATACATGGTGGGATGTAAGGTGTAAGAAGACTGGAAAGAGGCAAGAAATTGGTATGGGGGACTGACAACTGGTCAAAAGGAGATTAGAGAGGTCCCTTTGCTGGCACTGGGTGCACGATTCTATTTCATTGCCCGTACACAAATCTGGGTTGCAGTCCTAGGGTGAGGAGGAGCACTAGCACAACAAAGCTTGTGGCTAAAGTGAGAGTTCTAGGGTGGAAAAGAGTGTTTGTGGACACTCACAGACCAGAGCACAGGTCGAGACCATCTTGGATGAACTGAAAACTTACAGACCCCCAAAACTAACTCAGAAAACAGCTGTACAAAAAAACCTGGAAGTTGGGACAGAGCCCCCTTCATCCCAGGAGTGAAGACCAACTTTAACATAAAGCTGAAAGTCGAGAATGGAAAAATGAGCATACAACAACAACAAAAAGAAACTGATCGTAGAAAGTTACCATGGTTACCAGGAAGATCAAAACACAAACTCAGAATAAGACAACCAAGTCAAAATAACTACATCCAAAGCCTCAAAGAAAAATGTAAATTGGTCTCAAGCCCAGGAAGAATTCCTGGAAGAGCTCAAAAAGGATTTTAAAAAGTCAAGTAAGAGAGGAAGAGGAAAAACTGGGGAAAGAAACGAGAGTGATGCAAGAAAAGCATGAAAAAAGTGTCAACAGCTTGGTAAAAGAGACACACACACATGCACAAAAAAAAAAGTGAAGAAAATAACACCTTAATAAAATAAACCAAATGGTAAAAGAGGTACAAAAATCCATTGAAGAGAATAACTCCTTAAAAAGCAGAATTGGCCAAATGGAAAAGGAGTAACAAAAATTCACTGAAGAAAATAATTCCTTACAAATTAGAAAACGGGCAAGTGGAAGGTAATGACTTCATAACACAGCAAGAAACAATAAAACAAAATCAAAAGAATAAAAAAAGAGAAGGAAATGTGAAATATCTCTTTGCAAAAACAACTGACCTGGAAAACAGATCAAGGAGACATAATTTAAGCATTGTTGGACTACCTGAAAGCCATGATCAAAAAAGAGCCTGGACATCATATTTCAAGAAATTACCAAGGAAAACTGCCCTGATATTCTAGAACCAGAGGGTAAAATAGAAATTCAAAGAATCCACCATTCACCTCCTACAAGAGATCCTCAAAAGAAAACTCTCAGGAATATTATACCAAACTCCAGAGCTCCCAGGTCAAGG